ACAATTTACAACTCTGTGCTATTACTGAAAAATGTATCCAAAATACAAAAGAATGTTTAAAACCCATATGAAATTAGACAAATACTATCAACGATATCTAACCGAAATTCTAGAATATTCTACCACAACAAAATATATTTTTGTGATTAAAATTCTTCCCGAACCCAGTACCTATTAAGAAACAGTTCGAAAACAGTATTCATTCATTTATCAAATGAAAATCTAGCGAACAACTGACAAACACTTATTGTCAATTATATTATCGATTCCAGGCAACAGGCGTTATTGGCAATATTTTAGTATTTCTCGGAAAATCCAATAAGAGGAATGGTCTGCAGCACGCCGGCGGTAAACCAGTGCTGGCCCTAGAAACCGAAAATACAAATAGAACTTTTGGTTGACCCAGAGAACAAATCTGAAACCTTTATAATGATTTTAAAGCCCATTAGTCATCAATTGTTTTTATAAGTGGAGATAATTATCCAATGACTTTTCCCACCTGAGTGAGGCGGGAGGGAGTATCAGACTGACTAAAAACTAACCCGTTCCAATTCTTACAGTTCGAGCCGCAGCCCAGGCAACCCGTTAAGTCCTCCGCGGCTCCGTATCGGCATCAGCCTTATTGGGCCCCATCCGCGGTGGTCTGATGGCTCTTTGAGGCGCGCACGGCACAGACATAATAAATTAGGTAACTCAACCACTTTCAAGCCACGCCGGGGTCTTATAATTATGAACAGCTTGTGCGTTAACCAATTTAGCGAACACGATGTAAAGAGAAATGTAATTCACCTTGGATTAAGAAAAAAGAACACAAACAAAATCAATTTACCCTAATTAATTCAATATACTCTTAAGATAGTTATAATACTGAAACATACAGATAGTACAGCTATCTCAAAATGCACTCTCCCAATAGCTCCAAATAACTATTTCAATAAAACAAAACTTTTTGACATCACCGTTATAAAAGTCTGACTCAACGAACATTGTAAGGAGATCCAGAACTTCAACGAACAACGCAAACCAACCCTTATTCCTTAAACTATAGAGCTTAGTTCAGACTAACATAATAATATATAATACGAAAGCCATATTAAATATGAATTTCTTTATCTCATTTCTAGTGAAGTTTTTCGCTAAATCGACGAGATCTAAATATTATTAATATATAAAAAAAACTTGTTTGTGTATGATTGTTGTTTCGATAGGACGAAGTATTTTGTTGTTGTTGTGTGTAACAACAAAATGTAACTATTATCTATATTATGCAATAACGAGATTATGGGCTAGGAGATTAAGCGTCTTTTTTTTAAGGGGAGAAAAATTGTCGAATGACTGCTCCCGCCTGGGTGACGCTGTCAGACTCTTACTGACTAAAAACCACCCCGTTCCTTCTTCTGCACTTCGACCCGGAGCTCTAGCAACCCGTTAGGTTCTAAGCGCCTATGTATTGTATTTCTTTGTATTTTCCTGCTACTACCACTTTATCCCTTTCATCTTTTGGTAACTGTGTATATAGTAATTTATATTTAACTTGATGAGAACAGGCCATTGTTACATGGCTTCTCTATATAAAAGCCATAAGGTCCACGCTTGGCAGAAAGGTTGGAATTCGCAGTTTACAAGGTCAAGGTTCAGGCAACGTTACTTACCCGATCTCTGTCAAATCTAAATAAATGAAAAATAATGAAAAGGAATAGTAATTTCGTGGTGGCCCAGAGGTCTTCTTATGCATGAGAATATCTACGGGTTCGAAACCTACCAACGGTAAGTACCAATGCGACTTTTTCCTAGTTGTATGTACTTTTAAGATTATTTAGACACCACTGACAAACGGTAAAGGAAAACATCGTGAGGAGCCTGGGCTAATAATTTCTAATTATAGATTTGAAATCGCCAACCCGTATTGAATAAACGTGGTGATTAATGCTTCGACCTTCTCCGTGTTAGAAGAGGCTGTTGATGTGTGAAAAATAATAGTGGCGACAAATACATCCAACTCCTTGTCTTCTAAAAATCTTCTGTAAATAATAACCACAATATTACTATAATGGATATAATATAATATAAATAAGTCTCACACATAACATAACATCACGACTTTTATCCTCGAAGGCGGTAAAGAGGTACACATTACGGCACTAAATACCACTGTAAAATGTAACACCTACTTTTCACTATTTATGTTATGAATTCCATGTAATAGGGGGTGAGCCTATTGAACATAATTCTCACTGTGTCTGAAACACGAGAAGAATGCAAACAATACGGCCGTCAGATATTTGTGTGTTTAGAAATTGAATACAATAAGTTAGAAGAACAGATCCAATTACTTATAATATTTACACAACGATTAAGTACATAAGCCTTAAGTATATAATGCTTGCTTACTTAGTTATTATATGTTTGTGTTCAACATTTCCTGTTTAAATAACGATAAACTTCAAACTCTGCGTATTGGGAAAATTGTGTTAGTGTTATCGTATGTCAAAAATCAATCGTATTATATTTGCGGTGAGGTGTAAGATTATAAATTATGACTATTCTTTTCTCGATGGGATGTGCATGCAGGGAGTTTTTAATGATATCAGGCCTCGATAGCAAACCTAATCCTGAATCGCCAAGGATTCTCGACCAACCCTTTTTATTTTTAGTGTTCAGTTCGAGAGAAAAACCAACTGAACAAATAAATGTACAGCTTTATTTGACTATATCAATCTTAATATTTGTCTAGTTCATAGTATGTAACGACAAACAAAAAAAATACACTAACCTACACCTCGTATATACAATCGCTCTTCCACACACACACAACCCTAACCAAACACGGACAGAAAACATAAATTTATCATACGTAATTCACACAGACGAAATCACAAAGCAATTATAATAATAAAATATGGTGAAACTTGGTCCACACGTTCAAGTTCTAAAGGCAGGCAACGTAATATTTTGCCTGTTGTGCACACAACATAAGTTTCAAGCAGTTCCTCGCAAGTAAGTGATGCAAACAATTGGATAAGGTGGGACCAGCGTCGGGCTTTCCCTGATTGTTACCGAACTCGACATGTGAATAGTGCGTCCCTTTCCTGAGGGTACACTCGATTGGGGATAGTCTAAGTTAGGGGAACAAGCGATTTGATGATATTATGTGTTAACTTTGATAGAGAAGATAGACATTAAGCTATGCACAAGTATATACAAATTACATTTGTACATAAACTTGTGCATATAGTATATACTACATACATATATAGATTACCTCAAGGTTACCACTGTTACCCAGTCTGTAAAACGTAAAAAATATAGCAATCCCATCTTCTTTATGAAATGCTTATAGCCTAACTGTAACTGTCGTGGACGGTCGATGGTCACCTGTACCGATTGGTGTCAATGAACCGATGAACTCAATGCACTCAGCTCTTAAGGCAAAAACAAAATTCTCACAATATACACCTAAATAACGAAATAGTCCAAGGCCAGTAAGGCTGTTGCGGCCGATACGGAGTCGCGGAGGACTTAACTGGTTGCCAGGGCTCCGGCTCGAAGTTCAGCAGTAGGAACGGGGTGATTCTTAATCAGTAGCAATCTGACACTCCGTTCCGCCTCACCCAGGCGGTGAAGTCATTCGATGATATTCCCCCCTTATAAAAAAATAACGAAAGAGTAAAAAAAGAATCGAAAAGTTCGTGTTGCAGAATTCAATCACTAGTAGTAAGTAGGTAAGTAAAATAAAATAAATTTGCTTCCCATCACACTTTTAGAGGTATAAAAAATAAAACATCACTTCGCTCATCACTCCTTCCTTACACCGAAGCGAGTCCATATATTCACACAAGCTACGATCGAACGCCGCCGTAAATTCGCGCACCGGTTAGACTCCGCCAAGTTTCTTAATCAACAAATAGAAAGTTGTCATACGTTAATACATAGTACGACGAAGTAAACTCGGATTATGATATTACTAAGCTACTGAGTCATCTCTGTGAATTATTTTCCGAGATATTTTATTTTGCTTGGTTGCTTTTGTCGCTGAAAATAGGTAGAATAATTAAAGAGATGTTTTTTGTTACTTTACTAGATTGATAAGAGATAAGTAGACACCTTTATTTATTCAATATTAAAAATACGCGGAGTGTCATCAACAGCCTATTAGTGCTCACTGCTGAGCAAAGCCTCTTCTCATACGGATAAGGTTTGAGCATTAACTCGTCGAGTACCGTCATTATAGACACAATTATAGAACAATAGGTTGCGGTCACCGGTGACCGCTTGGTGTTTGACAGTTTAATCACCACGCTTGCTCAGTGCGGGTTGGCGATTTCAAACTTGTAATTATTAATTATAAATCCAGTTTTCTTCACGATGTTTCCTTCGTCGTTTGTCAGTGGTGTCTAATAATCTTAGAAAGTACATATAACTATATAAGTTACATTGGTACTTGCCATTGGTGGGTTTCGAACCCGCATACATCAGAAGCGGGCGTCTTAACCTTGGGGCCACCACACACACCACGCGGAGTATAATTCATGTGTAATATTGTTATTATCGTTGCAGATGGTCTATATATTACTTCCTTCGTAGTAACAAAAATCTACTATCATACGAGCTTCGGCAGTTACAACAACAGTCCAATCCTGTGCAGTGGATTAAAGATAGTTGTATAATAGGGTCATATTTATGACAAATCGGTGCTACTCGGTCTTGTCTAGTTAAATGTATGTGTAGTTTCTTAGTCGGCTTGTGGTTCTTTCGACTCGTGGAAAGAAAAGAGGTTTTTTTACGAATTTGTTTTATGTTTAAATTAATCGAAACAAGACCGCGTCTCTCTAATTGGTTGATTCACTGGAGCCTGCCAATCAGAGCGTCGAACGTGTTCTTGTACTAGCTCGTACTAAACCCTCAGGGGTGATGAACAATGTATTGGACTATGCCATGCCATGCCATCATTATGTAGTTTAAATATTTTTTCTCTTTTCTAACTATCATGAAAGCCTTACCTTGAACCATGCCATAGTTGAGTCGTCATACAGAACCACCCATTCTTCTGACCAGGAGTTCCATAAATATTTCCCTGGAACAATAAAACACGTGTCAGCAAACTCATTTCACAATACAAATGTTTAAAACATTTTGCGAAACACGTTCACAAACAATTTCAAGTGGAAAGAGTTTTATAATCGCTTTAATTTTTAGTTTTTACATAATTTCATGAAGTAAGCTTTTATATTTTTTTTAGTTTTGTTAAAAATATGAAGGTCTCCTTCCCTCGTTGTCGCACAAAGATGAAAGCGTGGCTTTTGTTTCTGATAAAAAAGTATCAAGCGGAAAATAGGTATCTTACTTACAGGATATACTTTGTATAATTTAAAATATTATTTTCTGTGGTG